AAAAAAAAAAAAAAAAAAAAAAAAAAAAAACCGTAAACGGAATCGCCGATTCACTGTTCGGACTCGCCGATTCCGTACAGTGAATCGTCGATTCACTGTACAGAATCGTCCGGTTCTCTCTAGAACCGGACGATTCCCGATTTTTGGGCGATCCGGTTCCTTTTTCACTATTTCCGAGTCGAACCGGGCGAGTCCGGTTCGACTCGGCGTTTTTTAAAACGCTGCCCTGAGCTAAGGATTCCCATGCTAGAGATTAAGGAAGGACATAGATCTCGTGAGCAATTGATGTTCGACATCCGGATTGGGGTGTACTAAATCCATGGAGGTGATCTTAGGCAAGATAATCCAGTAGCTTGATTTTATTTGAATAAAAAAATATTTTTATGTCATATGCAAGTGATGATCTTAGATTGTATTACGTTCTATTTTTATTATTTTTGACTTGTAATTGGCGCTTATAAGGGTCCAACAAATATAAATTAAATATACTAAAAAAATTTAATTGCATATACTTGTCCACGACCCATTGCCTTTTTTTAAAAAAAATACCTTTAATTATTTAGAATTAGTAAAATAAAATTACAAAATGACGAAAACACGTTGTCCAAGTTACCAAACGTAACCCTTTTACATTATAAACCCTTTGTTCCATGTTATTTAACCAAGCCACTGAGGAGGGACATAAATTGTTGAATCCCTTCTCTTTTTTGTTAAGGTTCTCATTCCTAAATAAAAGGTACTGGAGTGAAGTGAGATGAAACTTATAAAACCATACTTCTAACATTAAAAGAAAAAATCTATATAAGGTACTGGAGTGAAGTGAAATGAAACTTATAAAACCATACATCTAACATTAAAACAAAAAATCTATATAAGGTTGCAACCTTAAGATGTAGAATTACAGATGCACCTAAAAAATCTATCGGAAAATGTTGTTTTGAAGTTGAAAAACCTTCTAATTGATTATCTCGACATCAAGATGTATGAATATGAAAAGAAAAAATATTCTGAGTCCTAAAAATAATGCATCTTGCAACACATTATCTAGACCGTCCATTTTCAAGATTTTCATATATTTGTAGATCTACTTGATTTTAACCATGAAAAATGGTTTCATGAGGGATGGACCACATGACTACATATTCAGTCCAAAAGGTGTAAAGCATCATCTAAAAAATAGATGTATTAATAGGCCCGTATTTCTACATATAGGCCGAATAGAAACCGGGTCCTTTGACTATTATTGGAGTTTAAAATTTTATAATTAGATATAAAAATAGATCTTCAGATAATGCTAAGAATATTTTACACCAAAATTACAAAATTTTGGAAGTGTACCTTAATTGGTTTGTTTAAGATTGCAACCTCATAGAAACCACACCCTATATAAAATGATTTAACTAATGACCTTTCCACGGATATTGCTATAAGATGATTTAACTAATGACCTTTCCACGTATATTGCCCCTAAAAAATTAAGTAGAAATGGCAAGCCACAAGTGACTTCTTATTCGGATGAGAACATTGTGCAGACCAAATTTTAGCCTGAACCATGTAGATTTCTATCAATATTTGTAGAGTCCTAAACAATACAACCCTTGGGAGCATACCACACATTTACTCTAAAACACCAACTTGGGAGATTTTTCTTTTTTTATTTAAATTTTTGGGATCTACCTATTATAACTAGATGATTATTTTCAAACAAATTTGTTTTTACTTTTGAATTCATAAACATCTAGATCATTCCCTCCAAAAATCGGAGGGTTCCAATGCAATCTTGGAATGATATTTTTTCTGGCACATAGAGACTCATAACAGAACAAAATTTTCTTTGAGGTCATTTGCCAAATTGAGATATCACATCCCAAAATTTGAGCCCCCAAAAAGATATCCCTAGAATAAGTTTTGCCCGAGGGAGTAAATGGATAGTATACTCCGATGGGAGTAGGAAATCTAAAAAAAATAGAATATAAATGAATATTTTTCCTAACATTTACAAAAGGGGAAAGCATGGAATGAAACCATTTACCTTTATACAAGGTGATCGCATTAATCTTGACCTAGAAGTAAAATTAAGAGGTTGTAATTATTCTATTGACTAAGCTCAAACTTCTAAAGAAATTTTTTCGAACTTTGTGATACATCCAAGCTATCAAATTTCACATCAAATGATTGTAAAAAATTGTGACCACCTTGTATCAAAAGTAAATAGTCTCATTGTATACAATCTTTTTACCAAATATGACGAACTGCCATACATATTTATCAATGAAATCATGATCCATGAAATATAATGTTATTCCAGTAATTATTTCCTCATACAAATACCTTCGACCCAGACCTTTCGTGAGATATGATAGATTTCAATCAAACAAAAAATGAAATTTAGAAAAACAGAGTGCAAAAAAAAAAAAAACAACCAGAGTGCTCAAACCATAGATCCTGAACCAGACCTAGAAACCTTGAATTGCACGAACTTCCATGCCGCCAAAAGTAGCCAGCCAATAGCTGAGAGATCCGGCTTTAAGAAACGAATATCTTTCAATGTAAGAAAATCAGCCCGAATCAGATGAAGATTGACAAACAGGAAGGTAGTATGTATCTAGCTGCCAATATTTGTGCTCGACTCCTTCCCAAACTTTCTCTTGTAGGCAGTCCTTGACAGGCAATGGAACAAATTGCGTTAAGAAACCTAAATGAGCAAGCTCTAGAGCAACCAACTGACAATAAACCATGTGGAAAAATGCATTATCCCCACAAAGCCCATTGAAGAACGAGTAGACCCCATCAGGCTTCAACAACTTGGGAAGATGCTGATGGAACTCCCTCAGATCTTCATAGTACTCACCATATGTGTCAAAGAAGATGCCTGAATTAAAAGAGTAACAGAAGACCATGAAAGTCCAAATAACAAAAGGATATCACTGGCTGAGGTCCTCACAGATAGATGGAGTTAGAATATAAAATAGTAAGAATCTGAAACATTTAAATGAGAAAAGAGAGCTGAACTTTAAATGAGCTTCGAATAGTGTTTCTGTTTTCTTAAGGGAGGTCAACAGTGGAAATCAAACCTAGGGTGTGATGATTTTAGAATTGTTAACACTCCAATGCAGTAACAGTATTAAGAATCTTCAGAACTGATTCTACCCCAGGAACACAACTATTGGTTCTCCACCACCTCAAAACCAAATCAAAGTTATTTTGAAGGGACATGTTTTCTGAGTGGAGATTGTTTTGGAGCTTTTCCCCCACATGCCCTAAAAGTAGTTTTAGGTCAGGGCGCTGGAGGTCATACTCCAATGGGAGCACACCATCATTTCCCCAAAATAAGTATATTCATTTTAGAAAAGACTAAAATATATGTGCTTTCACATAGATGCAACTGCTATTCTTATAACTCAGTATAGTGAATTTTTTGCATTAGCACACAAGTATCTCATTTATAAGTACAAAGAGACGGCAACCGTGAACATGTTGTGCAATTCAGTATTGGAACTAAAATAACTTAATTCTATTTATCGTCCTCCGGCTCACATCTATAATTCCAAGGGACAGAGATCCCAAGAGTCCCTTTGACTAATTGACAGAATTGACCTTGCAGCAACATGCTTTCTGAGAAAAGAATAATACCGCTCCCTCTATCCAATAATACTACTGATTACACTGCAAATAAAGGAAATAAACAAAAGGTACCTATCTCAAAACTCACCCTAAAACAAACAATGTCAAATATCCATGTCTTGTCCAACAAGACATCAATAGTATCTCCTATCATACTTCATTCGACAAATTCACAGGCTGTTTATACCAAAAAAACAAAACTGGGGGGGAACATAGCCGAAAATGTAATAAAGGACTCAACCTTAAATTGTTACATGTCGGAGTGGAAAAGAAGGTTAGATACAATAACCATATTATCTCCACACCTCACTGAATTTGGTTGAGAATCATATCGAAGGGACAGCAATTTCTAAGAGGGATTCCAAGAAGCACTAGTTGGGGGCAAGAATGTCACTAATACAAGCATCCTCCAATAAATCCTCAAAACGAAAGACACCCGTATGTATATAATTTCAGTTTTTGGGGTCCCATTTGGGGAATGGACATGTTTGACGTATATTGCCAACCTCGTCTCCTCTCAAACACAACCACATGTCAATAAAGCTTACCAAATATTTTTGAAATTTTCTGGAGCTAAGAGTGATAAAAAATTCATATTTTTGTGATTTCTCTTGTATGTCAAATGGAGTAGTTCCCAATTATTTCGAGCACTTTGGTATGTGTTAAGATTTGTTGTAAGATTTAAGCCATGATATCATTTCAGTAACATGATTTGAATATAGACAGCTGGCAAGGTGTGTTTGCATTTTTTGCATTCATTGGTAAGAATTTCCCTTTTATTTTGGGCTTTCTGTATTGAAATTTTTTGTTTGTTCACTCTTTAAGTGGGACAAAGGCTTGTTGAAGTATTTCAAGTTAAACCCTAAATATTATTTTCACTAGGCTAGTGAGGGTTTTGCATGCAAATTGTATTTGTATAAAAGACTGGTAGATTGAATGAAATACTTGACCAACTTTCAGCTAGAAATGAGCTACACTTCTTAAACACGAGAGAAAAACAGAAAACAAGCAAAATCCCAATCAACCATGAAACCCCAAGAAAGAAAGAAAAATTACTAACAGTTGACTTGCTGGAGAGAGAGATATCTTGCATTCTATAAGAAAATAAGAATGATATTCCTTTCATCCTTCTTTTACAGTACTAATGATTTTTTTATGCTTGAAAGAAGTTCATGTGCTATTTTTCACTTCCTAGGATAGTACACTTATAGAAGCACTTGAATTTGGATCGTACACTTTACTCATATAGAAGCGTTTAAATTTGGGTATTGAGTTCTCACTTTCTACTTTGAGTTTGCATGAAGTGTATTCTCTTGAATGGTCAATTAAATGGATGCACGTGTTGCACTTTTTGCTAATCCAATAGGCGACTTGGATCTACAATTTTATTTGATCATCCAATAGTGTCATAATATTTTTTAGAGTTTTTTGTCTCATGGCCTCCATATTATTTTGAATTCGAATTCTTTATTTAATTAGCACACCAATAGAGCTTCAGATCTTGACTTATATTTTCTTCAACATGAGAGGGATGAATCTTAATTTTCAACCAATGAAATGGACTCATCTTGAGTTGCTTTATTTTCAACGAATTAGGAAGCATTGACATCTTTTTTCCTTTTTTAGCCTCCATGGCCGGTGCGATAGGTACTAATGACTTGTCCATCTGTTTCTGGATCATGTTTTTGTTCAATTTTGACAGGATTTTCTTTCTTTAATGAGTTGTATTTTCCACTTCTTTATTCTTTTTCAACACGAATTTCCAAGTGTTTAGTCTTTAGCCAATTAATTGAAATTTGTTAGGTTTCTCCACCCATATTTTCTTCAAGCTCAATGTCGTCCAACACTGACCGAGTTTTACGACAAATTTTTCATCGCTTAATTGTTCTTCAATTTCGCACTGAAGTATTGGACATTCTACCTATACCAAGTGCTATTGGCTGTTGTGTTTTCTTCTCCAATCTCCTATTAGCACACCAAATCTCGACCCGTCAACATTAGTGTTGTTCATTGCTGTTGTCGAGTTTGAAAATGTCTATGGGGCTCAGGTAAGTCTCGGAATCAGGCTGTTGTTGCCTATTGTGTTTTCTTCTTAATGGCCTATGAGGACAAAAAATCTTGAGCCCTTCAACATTGAATTGTTGTTCTTTGTTGTCGTCGAGTTTGAAATGTCTATGGGGCTCTAAAGAAACTCTGAATCAGGTTTAGTTTCCTGGTTTTTCACTTTTTCATCTACATTGTCTCTTTCTTTCCTAATTTGTGGTTCGTCACCATTTGATTTATGATAATTACATACTCTGTTCTATTTCCATTATATTTGGCCAAGCAATGCCCTAATGTCATAAAGATTAAGCAGTGCCATATTCTATTCTTTACTGGAATGGCTCCCCATATATAAGAATCAGTATCACTGGTACCATTGAGAATCTATGACCCCCTAAGGCTCTCTAGACTCTTCATTCCTGGAGGTTACTTTTTGAGAAGATGTCCTTCCTCTGGTAGATTTAGAGTGTAGGTTTTGGTAAATTTTGATTTTAGATTACCCTTCAATGTCGAAGGGCTCATTATTTGGTGAGCCCACGTGATGGAGAAGAATAAAACATAGTAGGCAATAGCAGCCCACCGGGAAGCCCAATATATCTTGAAGTGAAGTCAAAGAACAACAATGAAGTTCCAAGCAATCTGAACAAAAAGTTTCTCAAAAAAAGAAAAAATCTGAACAAAAAGTCACTGGTATACCCTATCATGTTCAATGTGGAAAACTAGGCATAAAAATAAAATGAAAATTTACAGATATGCCGAAGTATTCGGCATGAATCATCCTCACCACAAGAATCTACCTTATGTGAACAAAAAGAATTGGAGCACAAGTCATAACAATTCTTAAAATCACAAGACAGTGTTGACATTCATGTTCTCTCTCTCTGGCATAGAAACTCACTGCTTCTGCATGAGGGCATTCTAACAGCCATGAACCTAACCACCTCCGCCTCTCTCAAACGCTTCTTCTCCTTCTCCACCCATACTCCTCACCGCCTCTCTCCCTCTACTTTCTCCCTCTCCTCTCTCCTCCTCTCCCAAGTTGATTTCCATTCCTTCTGACTCTTCCCTCAAGCTCACTGATCAGTTCAGGTCATCTTTGGTCGGGGTTTTTCACCCTCAAAGAGACGACTTTCATGGGATCGAAAAATGGTGAAGACATTTCTGGCAGGATGATACCTTGACCTGCTGCAAGCTCTCTGATGGGTCCACTTTGTTCTCTCTCTTCTGAGAACAGTACTCTAAAGGTCCTTTTTCAGGAAGCTTCCCTCGCTCTCTCGAGATGATCACTGGATTTGGGTTCCTTCCATAAACAAAAGGTTTGGGTCACAGTTTCCTCCATTCCCCACCATGCCTGGTACCAGGACGCCTTCAAAGCGCTTGGGAATGCTTGCGGCTCATTCGTAGCAGTCCATTGGAAATCCCTGGAGTCTCTACCTCTTGGATCCATTTTGCTGATTGTAGATGTTCTGGAACCCCATTTCATCCCATCCTACCTCTGGTTCGAAGTAGCTGGGCTGTCCTACAAGGTATTTCTGTCCTGGTCCACTGCATCCCCACCCTCAGCCCGTTTCGTTTCCACAGCTAGCCCTTCCAGCCACCCTCAGGCCCGTTTTCCGGCTGTGGCCAGTCAAAATCCTAATCGTCTCGCCCTTGGACAACAGTTTCCAAGAGACACAAGTTCCCGGAGTGCCAGCACCCACATCCTACTCGACGTCAATTACCTAGTCCCATGGTTCCTATGGTTCAGACCGCTAATCCTTTCAGCCCCCTTGCCTTGTCTCCTGGGCCTCCTGAGCCGGTAGCAGCCAGCCCCCTTTTGCCCGACACTCATCACCTACTCTCTGACGCATCGCCGCCTTCCAGTCGGGGCCATCATTTACCTGTGGCAAATATGCCACCATCTTTGATGACAGCTGTTGCTCCACCTGCCTCCATTTCAGCTACCCTCGTACTACCCCTGCCACCTGTCCATCCTTCGAAGGCTTATGACCCAGACCTGTCCACCTCCCTTGCCACCTACCCCCACCCTCCTCCCAAGGTCTCCTCTTCTTTGGGAACAAACGGCTCCCTTCCCATGCCTATTTTTACCTTTACCTTCTGGTCTTTCACCCATACCCAGGTCTTTTCCCAGCCGGCCCCCAATGGACTTTCAAGCCGCGCTACGCCGCCCAACTCATCAACCCCTGTGGGAGGTGAGCCCTCCGC